TAAGAACAGAAAGAATATTGGAGAACTGTCTGATCTTTGTAAATTGGTTACTTATGAAGGGCAGCTTACACAGATTCAGTAGCACTCTTCTATAAATATAGATGAACTTATTAAATTTTGACAATAATTCCTTTTTTTAAAGAAGTTACAAATCCCATGCATGATTGTCTTCCATATTTTAATTTCTTTASACACAGGAAGTATTAGTATTATTATAAAGTTTAGATGTATTTTTGAGGTATGTCTGATATTTTTGCAGTATTTGGACATTATTTAATATATAAATGAAGAAGTGCATGGGGATGATTTTCAACCAGAAATAATCTTATTGTTGCATGCAGATGCCAACAAATGCCTACATCAATTGAGTAATAGTGTGTGGGGATATGTATTTTGAGAATACTGCTCAGGCTTAACATTCCGTTCCTCAGAGCATTTGAACAGGGCACTGTGCATGTTTTATGGGTATAGATCTGCTAATTTTCTTGCAGTCAACACAACTATTCAAAAACTGTGTTAGATGATACTTGAAACTTTACAGGATTAGAACACACATTTGTGCAAAGATCTGAAAACAAATTGCAGTGCAGAGCTAGGWTTAAAATATTTGCCTTAGTGAGATTGTAGAATACAATCCACATGTTGTGTGTTGTCCTTAAAACTAGCTAACAGCTGCCACAGTTATTCTTGATATACTGGATAGAAATTTACTTCCTAAACCTATCCTGAACTTAACTGTTAGTATGAGTTAATAAAATGTTCATGGAAATTCAGTCATTTGCTAGGTCTTCCTAGAATGGAAAATTTAGGACCATTACTGGCCTATGTTCATTAACTCACAGACATCTTATATAGACTTTAAGTAAATTAAATCTTTCAGAGATGTGTTTTAGTCATTCTTCTCATAACGTCCTTTGTATTTCAGGATCCTAAACGTCATTTAGAAGAGCATGTGGATGTGCTGATGACCTCAAACATTGTCCAGTGTCTAGCTGCTATGTTGGATACAGTCGTATTTAAATAACTGAATTACTGTTTGTGATGCTTTCTGTGTATATTTGTTTATTGTTTCTCATTCTCACAAAACGGAGACTGTTGAGGCTCTATTTGATTAAACGGAGACATCTGACTTCATTTGCAATGTAAGTGCAGCACTATAACACCTTTCAGTCTCTAATTGTGCATTTGCTTCAGTTTCTTTATGTCAGGGTCCTCACAGATTCCAAAGCATTCAAGAACACAATGTGGGAAAAATGTATTATGTTTTCATTTAATATTTGGGGGGAAAAAATCAGCAGTACATATATATTTTGATTGTTGCAACATAATAAAAATACATTTACTAATCTGTCTTAAGTTCTGGACAGTCTTTTTTGAGAAAGGAYGGGGAATTACCAGACTAGAAAAAGTACTAGTAAACTTTTTTTTTCTCTCCACTATAAAACTACTGAGATATTTATTGTTAGGAAAGCAAAAATTCTCTACTGGAATTTGGCTCCCATTGATTACCAGTTACCCTCATGGAGATTTAAACAAAAAAATTGTAGTGCTGAATCAGGGAATATACAAAACCAAAATGCTGAAAATTCCTCTGTCAGCTCCCTCTGAATATTATTCAAACCCTAATATCTACAGAAGATAACTGACCTTAAGAAAATTAATTCAGTTGCTGGTAACTGAATCACAGAACTCTTGTAAGCGGTGTCATAAATAGCAGTATTCTGAGAATAAACACTAAAGTGACAGAGGSTGTTCGAGGTTACATGAACCCACCCTCCTGTGAAAGAGAATGTACATGTGATGTCCATATACATAAATATATGGAAAGAGTCCCAACTAGAATATGACATTTAAAACCATTTCCACTGACTGGAGAGGGAAGCACTCACAGGAGGGCAGGTGGTTTGGCTGCCAGATAACTGAGTTTGGGGAGTGACTGGGTTTTGGACAGGTCTGACTCGAACTTTTCGTTAGGGGTTTTTTTTTTAAGTACTGGATGTTGCATAGGCTGATTTCATTATCTTGTCTGGGCAGAAGTTATCTTTTTCTGTTTGTTGGTTTGGGTTTTTTTAATAAACAGCAGCAGTAGTGGCAGGCAAGGATTTTAAAACTACATCTTTTGTTGAAGATAGTTTTTTTTAAATTGACTTCCTATTTGCATACTAAAGAAATAACCCATATAATTGTCTTATTTTSCACCTTATGCCCATATTTACTTACTCTTTATCATTCAAAGATTCTTCTTTTGTTTGAAATTTCTTATTTAGGTCTTCTAATTTACTRTTTTAGACTAACTCTCTCTCAAAGTATATTTAGCGTGCACTTACTTCAGAGGGAAACATGCAGATTTTTGCAGCTGCCCTCCTTATGGCCTTCCCTCTGCCCCCACAGTAGGCAGTGGAATATCAGACTGGGAAAATGGAGACATACCAAACCACATTTGCCTGCGTGTAGTTAAATGGAAGTTCTTCCTGGCGATTCCCACGGCAAACCTGCGGGTGGTTGAGGAGGGCTGCGTTCGGGCCTCGCTGTTGCCGGATGCGCCCGCCGGGGTGAGATGGGGCAGGAGCTGATCCAGGGACCTGCCCTGGGGCTCGTCTGCCAGGGGGGCTCTGCATCCCTGCCGCTCTCTACTCCCACACACACGTGTAACACCACGAGGGAGACCGAGTTTGGCAGGTCGTGGGTAACATGGCACTGCAGAACAGGAGAGGAGCTAGCACAGTGCTGCAGTGTATACATGCGTGAGAGGCTGGTGTAAGCAGGGAGACAAACCAGTGAGTCTTACATATTCTAAATTAATTTTGACAAATGTACATCTTGCAGAGGGTAGCTGAAGGGAGTCTGTTGGAGACGCAGATCTCCCGTARTATAAGCTTGTGCTGTGGTACCCTGCTTTTTATTCACTCCTCGGTTTAACTTGGAGACACAATTTTCCATTTATCAAGATGTTGCATGAATAATAAAAAGGCAGTTTTTTGGGGCATCCTTCCTTATTTTTGTCCAGTGCTTTAGGAGCTACACAGAGGATTTGGAAGAATGTGTGTATGCCGCAACCTGAAAAGCAGCAGCCCTTATACCATGTTGAAGGAAGAAAGAAATTTTCAAGCAGCCACCTTCTGAGCCTCCAGCCGCAACGGAGCAGACCTTCATTAGCAGCGTGACCCCTTGTCACCTGTCAGTGCGAAGGACGGGCATATTGTATTAGCAAACCTCACTCCATTCTATGACGATTCTGTAACACCACCTGCCATTGCATATCCCCCCTATTATACCAGTTTAGGAGTTGTGCACTGAAGATTTTTGGCATATATTAGCACTTCCATGTGATTGGCAGTATACCACTGAATTCATTGCAGCTCYGCATCTATATGGGTGTAGCTCTGTAATTCAGGGCAGCGTTTCCGAGGGTTTATCTGCATTTCGATCCATCTCCTGCCTATATAAGTCCATTACCGTTCTGTTGTTTCAAACAGGGAAAGGGAAGGGTGAGCCCTGGTGAAACAAGTGTCGGAAACATTAGTTATAACTGATAATAATGAAACTGTTTTCTTAGCACTGAAMCAAGGTGGTGTATGCAAAGTTGCATGTGCTGTACCACTCGAACAGAACGGTGAACTGCTTGCTTTTTGCTTCATAAATTATTAGAATAATTTCCTTGCAGAGAGAGTGTGTATGTTGGTATCTATGAAATATCAAATAACCGACGTAGCTCACAGTTAAGCAACAGCAAAATAAATGGCCATGGGATCTGGAAGCATTGAAATACACATTCTGAGAAGTCATCATGGTGCTAGTCTTCTCTGGATTTGAGTTTGCAAAGTTTCGGTCTGGCTTCAGGCAGTTATATGGTGGTTCAGTTTTATTATGCAGKGGTTCAAGCCGCACTACCTGTCAGTGAAATTTGAAGCCGGCTGCCGATGTCACCTGGGAAGAGATGTGGTCTGTAAAATACCTGAAGTCCAAACCGTTAAGGGGACAACGCTAAGAAAAATTGAACAGGAGTGCTCCTTCCCGGACAAAAAAATCCAAACCCCAAAATACCGAAAAACAAACCCCATGCTTTTAAACTCTCGGGCTTCTCTAGGAARAGAAATTGAGACTGGTGCTTGGCAAAGGCGGGGTGGTGAGCGGGCCCCCTGAACTCTTCAGGCGCATCTTCGCGCCCWGGAGGGTCCCGCTTTCACTAGCCCGAGGCTCGCCCGGGCGCAGCGCGGGGACCCGCCGGCCGATCCCTCCGCTACCTGGGAGTCCCCACAGTCCCCGCGAAGGCTCAGGGCTTCGTCCCCGCCCGCCTGGGAGCGCACCCCGGGCCGCGGCGGCCGCGGAGGAGCCCCCCGGGCAGAGGGTGCCGGCTGCCGCAGCACCTTTCTGGTTTGGGTTTCTCAGCTCCGATCGACCCCGCGGCCGGGCGGGCCGCCGCCCCTGCCAAAGGTGCTACCAAAAATCTGCCYCTCCCGAGAGCTGCGCGCGGGACTGAATCACTGAAGGAAAGCAGGCACCGAGAGGGTAGAAATAYAGAGCCGGATAGGGAGATGAACGCCTTCCACCCTGTTTTGCGGATAATCTCCGGCATTACGGCTCCCAGATAAAATATTTATTTACTAAAGAACCCGTAAACATCGCGGCAAATACATTAGGGCACTTCGGCTGCGGGGCTTATGATTATTTCAGAAGTTAAAAGAGATGATACGCGGCTGCTGTCARCGGGGACGGAGGGTGTATTTTCCCCCGCGAAACAGGCACGGGTGGGAAGGGTGGGGGCGATGCGCCAGGGATCGCTCAGAAGAGCCGGGGGAGAGGGGCTGCGCCCCGCTGGGGACAAACCGCGGGGGTGAGCTGAGGGCAGCGGCCGCCCGGCCCCGCGCTTCCCTCGCAATCGCTCCCCAAAGCGCCCAGAGCCCGCTCTCCTCCCTGACGCACGAAGGTGGGGTACACGCGCGCAATATTTGGGGAATCGCAGGGTTTGGATTTATTTTCCAGCCACAGTAAAAAAAAAAAAAATTTAAAAAAGCTAGAAAGGTCACATAATAATGAGCTCTCACAGCAAACACATCTTCCCTTCCCCCTTTCCCTTCCTTCTATCTCACAATAAAATCATCTCCTTCAATTTGCCATGATCGTCGCGACCAGGAGCCAGGTGATTATCCTAATTAATGTCTATCTAATTAAATTACTGTCAGCGGTTAACCAATGGCAGAAGCCGTTTCATCCTCTCCACAAGCAGCAAGATCAAAAGTGAGTCTTTCCTGATTGCTGCATAGTGTCAATTGGCCAATCTCTTCTCCCTGGGAAGGGAGAAAAAAAAAAAAAAAAAAAAAAAAAAAAAAAAAAAAAAAAAAAAAAAAAATAGTAAATCAAACGTTTGGGAAGCATTTGGTAGATGAAGTGCTTTCTGCCTAGTGTGGGTCCCAGGATGTCTAGCTTCTGATACTAAGAAGCCCTTTCAGATCCAGGGACTGAAGGGTTATTACTGTGGTGCTAGAGCTATGCAGCTGGAGCATTGTCTTTCTCCCTCTATCATGCTCTCCAAGAAATTTCTCAATGTGAGCAGCAGTTACCCACATGCAGGCGGATCTGAGCTTGCCTTGCATGATCATCCCATTATCTCGACCACTGACAACCTGGAGAGAAGTTCACCTTTGAAAAAAATTACCAGGGGGATGACGAATCAGTCAGATACAGACAATTTTCCTGACTCCAAGGACACACCAGGGGACGTCCAGAGAAATAAACTCTCTCCCGTCTTGGACGGGGTCTCTGAGCTTCGTCACAGTTTCGATGGATCTGCTGCAGATCGCTATCTGCTCTCTCAGTCCAGCCAGCCCCAGTCTGCTGCCTCTGCTCCTAGTACCATGTTCCCTTATCCCAGCCAGCATGGACCTGCTCACCCAGCCTTCTCCATCGCCAGCCCCAGCCGCTACATGGCTCATCATCCTGTGATCACCAACGGAGCTTATAACAGCCTCCTGTCCAACTCTTCTCCGCAAGGCTACCCCACGGCGGGCTACCCGTACCCCCAGCAGTATGGCCATTCCTACCAAGGGGCACCTTTCTACCAGTTCTCCTCTACCCAGCCGGGGCTGGTTCCCGGCAAGGCTCAGGTCTACCTGTGCAACAGGCCACTCTGGCTGAAATTTCACCGGCACCAGACGGAGATGATCATCACGAAGCAGGGAAGGTAAGCTACCGCGCGGACCTTTCTGGGTGTCGGGGCTTAGCCGCGAGCTTCTCCGGGAGAGCCGCCCGGAGCCTCCGCCGTCCCTGCGGGGCGGTCTGCCCATCACCGGGGCCCCTGCCCTTGCCGCCGGGAGCTCCGGAGCAGCTCCCCGCCGGAGTCGCTCCCCRCCGGAGTCGSTCCCCRCCGGAGTCGSTCCCCRCCGGAGYCGGTCCCCGCCGGAGCCGGTCCCCGCCGGGGCAGCCCTCTCTGCCTCCCTGCAAGTTCCCGTGCCCGCTGCCCTCCTCCCTTCCCCGCGGAAAGCTCGACGCTCCGGAGAGGGGATTTCTTTTGATTTTTATTTTCCGGTCGCTATCGGGAGCCTAGAGGATAAACACAACGGCTGGTTCCTCCGCGTGTGCCTGTAGCCGGCGGTAGCTTGCTTTCCTTCTTCCCTTTCTTTTTCTTTTTTTTTCCCCTTTTCTCTTTTTTTTTATAGGCGCATGTTCCCTTTCCTAAGCTTCAATATTTCTGGTCTCGACCCTACGGCTCACTACAATATTTTTGTGGATGTAATTTTGGCGGATCCTAATCACTGGAGATTTCAGGGAGGCAAATGGGTTCCTTGCGGCAAGGCGGACACCAATGTACAAGGCAAGTTCCTCCAATTAACACTTTTCCCGACACATATGTAGGTGAGAATGATTAATTAATGCCTTTGCGGACTGGCTTTGGCGACTTCTTAAACGCGAATGGGCCAACGATTTTTTTTAAATAAAAAAAATAAATAAAAGGAGGGTGGAGGAGAAAGTACAAGGTGTTCGGAAAAAGCTGTTTTAATATTTTTCGCTTAAAATGAAGGGAGTTTTGGCAGTAAAATATTGGTAACTTAACGGGGTCCTTCAGCCTCGTGTGCGGGTGCAGCGGTAGAACCAGGGTACAGGCGAGAACTGTGATGTGGTTGTGTTTTTTGTTGTTTTGCTTAGGAAACCGGGTGTATATGCATCCCGACTCCCCCAACACGGGAGCCCACTGGATGCGTCAGGAAATCTCCTTTGGGAAACTAAAACTTACAAACAATAAAGGAGCATCAAACAACAACGGGCAGGTCAGTGGAGGAACTCAGACGCTGCCAGAATTTTTTTTTGCTTCAGTTAAAATCCTACCCTTTCCGAAAGGACGTGTTTTGGTTTTTTTTTTTTTTTTTTTTTTTTTTTTTTTTTTTTTTTTTTTTTTTTTTTTTTTTTTGGTTTTTTTTTTTTTTTTTTAGATCGTGTCGTTAGGTGAAAATAAAAGGGGGGGTGGTGGTGAGAAAGTCCTCCCATTTTATTTTGCCACGGGCCTCATCGGCCCTGAACGTGGTGCCCATGCTGTCCGGTGCGGCTGGGGAAGTCCGCAACCGTCCCGGAGAGGCGGCGGCCAGCGGGCATTGCTCTCCTCGTCCTTCTCGCTCTAATTTCTTCTTTTTTTTCCCGCGTTCCCCTCCCTCCTTTTGCCATGCCTGACAGATGGTGGTTTTGCAGTCCCTTCACAAGTACCAACCTCGCTTGCATGTGGTGGAGGTGAACGAAGACGGGACGGAGGATACCAACCAGCCGGGCAGAGTGCAGACATTCACGTTCCCCGAAACGCAGTTCATAGCCGTCACCGCCTACCAAAACACCGATGTAAAGATCTCGCTGATTTATTCTCCTCGCGATCCCCGCGCTCCCTGCAGGGCACCCCACCAGGGGCGGCCCGGCTGCTGCCCACCCTCCCCCGGCTCTCCGGGGATGATGGGGCTCACTGTTCCCGACTTTGCGCCATCCCTCCCTGGCCATCCCGAGGGGGGCCACGGCCGCCTTCGCCCCAGGAGCCCCCGCCGGGCGCCCGTAGCGGCATCACCCTCCCCGCCAGGATGGGCGCGATCCTGCCCCTCCGCCCGGGGCTGGGCGCTGGCCCACGGCGTTTATCTCCCAGTCGRAAAAAGCTTAGTTAGCTGTTAAGCTGTTAGCTTAAGCTTTAAGTCTGCAAAGATCAATTAACATCCTCATTGATTGCGCCGGGGGTGACGGAGCAACTTTCTTAAATTAAAAGCTCGTTAATGCCTGGATGCGTTTCGGAGTGGTCTGGCTTTRCTGCAGACTGGTGCCCCCTTTTCAAATGACATATGTTCAGTCCACATTCTCGCTTTAATTATTTTGCTCGATGCAAATGCAAACTCCTAGTTACCGCTCTGCGGAACGTTTTGCCTAATTTTTGGATTTCAATATATTCATACCCATGCACTAGGAATGCTGAACACGCCTCAAAACATGGGGTTAAATATTGAATTTTTCTTACTTTTTACAACAATGTAAATCTTAAAATTAGACTGTGATGTCTACAAGCATGCCAGAGCTTATTTTTCACGGTTTAAAGGCAATATGATTGACTAGAGTAAGGCTTGGTCCTTTAAAAATGTGTTGGCTGCAGTGGGGTATATTTTTCAGGCTTTCAAAACGTATGCTCTGCTTCTCTCTTTCCCTAGATCACACAGCTGAAAATAGATCACAACCCTTTCGCAAAAGGATTCCGAGACAATTATGACACGTAAGTAAACCGGATTTTTACTACCCTTCTGCCGGCTGCACACACATGTCAAAGGGGGGCTATTGAGGATGAGGGCTGGCTCATTTCGAACCGAGATGTATAATGTCAGGCTTTTCCAGAGCCCTCCGGGAGGGAAGCACACGCCCGCTCCCGCACAGGGGCTGTCCCTGCGGGAGGCCCTGCGCAGCCCTGAGGCCGCATCCGCGCCTGGGGCCGCGCTGCCCGCACCTGAGTACGCATCGAGCTTTGGCGCTTGCGGCGGTTTTGTTGTTGGTTTTTCCTGGCACGTATCTTGGCGCCTCTTCCCAAGCTTCCGTTTCACTTTCGCGCAAGGGCGCCGAAAGAAGCACCCGAGCAGCAGGGGCTCAGTCCCCGGCAACCCTCCGGGTCTGCATCATCCCGGGGTCCGCAGAGCCGCTGTCCGGAGGGAAATGTCTTCGTCTCGTTTTATTCTTCTTCGGGGTTGGATTTTTTTTTCCCATTCTCCCTTCTGGGTGGAGCTAAAGCCTCTGAAGTTTTAATCATGGTTTGTCCCTGTTTTGCCTCTGCCCGTCCGCCTCCGAGGCGTTCCCAGCCTCCTGACCCCTGGCCGTGACCCTGCACCACACGCGTCTGGTGCCCCTGCGAGTGCGGCCCTGGGGCGGCATCAACACTCGGCCCCCGCCGCTGCCTTTCCCGGCCCACGAGACAAAAATGGGGATATCCCGRCCTGCAGACCCTGCAGGCAAGCATTCCCTGATCCGGGGGAAGCCCTAGATGCCCACTTGGCATCCCCCTGCCCAGCTTGGGTCAGCGGCAGGTGGCGGCAGCAGGGCGGCCCGTATTCCCGGGGAAGCAGGCAGCTTGTGAGCTCGCCTGTGCCGCCACAAGCTTCGGGTCTGTGGGACGGGTCCCYGGCTTCGAGGAGGAAAACCTTCTCCTCTCTAAACTGTGGCGGGGAGCGGGCCCTCTTGGCCTCGAGCTCCTCATCCTGTGCGGACCTTCAGYGCCCACTCCAGCCTCTTTCCGTTGGACTGCGGTCCAGCACTACCAGCTGCGGGCTCTCAGGACAAGGGTGGAAACGATGCCGAGAGCTGAACTAGTGCGAAAGGGGCCCGGGGCCGAGCTCCAGATATCCCCAGGGAGCAGCTTRTGGCGCGGTCGCTCTTCCCCAGGGGCGGGGGTCGTGGAGGCTGTAGCGGAGACCAGGGCCGCCGCCGGGAAGGCGGTCCCCGGTGCCACGGAGGGAGGCAGCCTAGGCTGCCCGCTCTCCGAAGGCTCTGCGAGAGTATGTGCGGCCTTTGGAAAGGCTGCGTGGCCTTCGCCCCCAGCCAAAAGTGCTTTTCTCTTTTTGAAGGAAAAAAACTTTATAGGGCGTCACTTGAAAGGAGACGGGGGGAGGGGGAAGCTTCAATGTTGTCTAGCACGTTGGATTTGTTTAAGGGCCAAGTTTATTTTGGATAAGAAATTCCAGGAGGCGTGGAGGGTTAATTAAAGCACAGTTTTAGCCTGAATTAAATACAGATAGTAGTTATTCATCCATTAAAGTTTTTATAATCGCAAATTGCAGCCCAGCATGGGAGAATTATATATAGGCCACGCAGGGAACACTGGAAGTGTCTGACTTTACATTTCCTACAGTAGGTGTTTAAGGATTAGCTTAATTTAAACTCRGTAAAATGTTGATGGTTCGTCTGTGACTCCCAATAATAAGTGTTAAACAGCCGATAGAATTCCGTAGTCTGCCACTCATGCTTTTCGCGGCAAATGACCGGGATGCCTGTTGCGCATGTAGCGGAACCGGTCAGTGTGTCACCGAGCGGGATTCCACGCCGTTGGGTTGTAGGTTCGGACCGGAGAGAGGCATTTGAGTCCCGTCAAGGAATGGCCAACCGGTTCCGAATAATTTGTACTCCATGCTTGCCCCCGTCTTTCCTCGTCCCCGCGAAAGGCCYTCGGCGGTACTGATGCCGGAGGCCAAGCCCGGAGAGGAGCGCAGGCTCCCGGGCCGGGCAGGAGCTCGCTGGGACGGCGCCGTCCCGTTCGTCCCCCGAGGGCCGCTTTCGGCCGGGTGCCGTGCCGAGGAGGGCGTCGGGCTGCGGCGGACACCCAGCTCTCTCCCCTTCTCTTGGGCAGGATCTACACGGGCTGYGACATGGACCGGCTGACGCCTTCCCCCAACGACTCGCCCCGCTCGCAGATCGTGCCCGGGGCCCGCTACGCCATGGCCGGCTCCTTCCTCCAGGACCAGTTCGTGAGTAACTACGCCAAGTCCCGCTTCCACCCCGGGGCAGGAGCCGGCCCGGGGCCCGGCGCCGACCGCAGCGTGCCCCACACCAACGGGCTGCTCTCCCCACAGCAAGCCGAGGACCCGGGGGCCCCCTCGCCGCAGCGCTGGTTCGTCGCCCCCGCCAACAACCGCCTCGACTTCGCCGCCTCCGCCTACGACACGGCCACCGACTTCGCCGGCAACGCGGCCACGCTGTTGTCCTACGCGGCCGCGGGCGTCAAGGCGCTGCCGCTGCAGGCGGCCGGCTGCGCCGGGCGGCCGCTGGGCTATTACGCCGACCCGTCGGGCTGGGGGGCCCGCAGCCCCCCGCAGTACTGCAGCAAGTCGGGCTCGGTGCTCTCCTGCTGGCCCAACAGCGCGGCGGCGGCGCGCATGGCCGCGGGCAACCCCTACCTGGGGGAGGAGGCGGAGAGCCTGGCCCCCGAGCGGTCCCCCTTGCCGGGCGCCGAGGACTCCAAGCCCAAAGATTTGTCCGATTCCAGCTGGATCGAGACGCCGTCGTCCATTAAGTCCATCGATTCCTCCGATTCTGGGATTTACGAGCAGGCCAAAAGGAGGCGGATCTCCCCCTCGGACACCCCGGTGTCCGAGAGCTCCTCGCCTCTCAAGAGCGAGGTGCTCACCCAGCGGGACTGCGAAAAGACCTGCGCCAAGGACATCGGCTATTACGGCTTCTACTCGCACAGCTAGGCGCGGCCGCCGGCCCGCCGTCCTTTTGCACAATAACTCCTCCGCGTTAGCGCACTGACCCCCGCCCCTAGCTGCCCCATCCGTGCCCCGGCCCGGCCCGGCCCGGCAGGGAGGCAGGCAGGCAGGCAGGCTGAGTCGCGGCCGCCGCCACCCCCCCGCCCCGCTCCCCGCCCGGCCCGGTCCGGCGGCGCCCCGGGGGCGCGGGGGGCACTGCCGCACCGAAACCCACTGATCAGTAGGATGCTTAGACTCTCAAACCGTACAGCGCTTCCTTCCTTTTACCACGGATGGATTCTAGGGGAAACAGTAATAGTGGGGAAAACAGCCTGTGAAATGCCTGTACATAGTATTTATTTTATTGTAACAGATTACTTTTATTTGGTTCAGTTTATTTATTATTTGTTTGGATTTTTTTTTTGTTTTGTTTTCATTGTTAAGTCACAAAACTTAGATCCTGTTTAAATTTCTTTACCCATCCTCCGCTCTTTGCTCCCTCTTCCTTGTGCCCCTCCCCAGGTAAACACTCTTCCTAAATGCCTCTGGAAATGTAAGTGGTCCATAGCTGTAGCAGCGAGTAATGGGTTTCTCACTTTCTCTCCAATTCCTCGCATGAAATAATTACGCAGTGCCCTGGGCTAACACAGCTAAGGAATGATCAGCTTTCCCTTCAAAATAATGTCTCATAGGAAAATCGATTAAATGAGCATAATGCCTTCCAAAACCAAAATTAACTGCCTCTTATTTTTCTTTGAAAGGAATAGCTCGAGATCAGCAATATTATTATTTTCGTGGTATCCCTCTTCCCCTGCCCCCAAGTGCCAAATCCATTACTGGTCCCCGCAGGTGCCAAATATGCTGACAAACTATTTTCAAATTTCTTTGCAGTTTCCCCCTCTTTCTTTATATTGCTGTAAATCTTTGTAATGAATAATCT